GTTATTTAAATAATAATAATAAACCAAGGGTATAAAAATGCTCCAGCATCGTCCACCTCAGTATAATGTTGAAGACTCGGCTTTGTCAGCGACCATCAGACTTATCCCATCTTGTTTGAAAATTGTCAGCTTGTGCAAAAATGAAGATCATCATAGCTCTGCTTGCTTCGGTAGTCGCCTGCGTTGCTTCAATCCCAGTTAATGATACCGCCACTGTAAGTTAATATACGCGAAGTTTTGTTTGTATGAACTTTCATTACTTGGATTTCTGCGATAAGAAATTATTTATAATTTCATTTTCTAATTGTTCTTTGAACAGTCGCCATCTAGCTTCAAATTGACAATCGGAAATGGTGAACAGGAGATCACGATCGATGAAAATAGAAACACTGAGGTGTACGTCACGTCTGGTTCTGACGATGCCGTCATTATCAAAGACTTTAACCAGGTAAATATACAAACTATATACTCCTCAGATGTTCTATGCGTTTTATCGTATACAATTCAATACATTATATATATCTACAAATACGTGGGTGTTGTGTACATGTATACAGTATGTTGTCCCAGCCTGTGCCCAAAGACATGTTAATTACTACTAGTATTTTTTTTAGAGATTGGAGGTGATCGTTCCTAAAACTGGGGAAAGATGTTTCGTGAGACCATTACGTGCGAGTAGAAACGTAGACCCATCCAAGTTGAAGAAAGACTTAAAACATGCCATCGATGAGGTATGTGATGTCATAGTTTTATCATCCTCTCTTTGTTCTTTGATACTAACAAGCAATTGACTAAAATCTAAACATATTTTAATCTGGATGTCACTAACTATCACATATTTTAAAACTGATTAAATTTAAGAAACATTTTTATATTCACTCTGTGGAAATTACAAGTTTGTACTTTTTTGTTTTATTCCACGTTTCAATGATGAAATATTATAATATATGAAGTCTAATGTCATTAAATCAGCCATTCCGGTGTTCGTCGTTTGTTTAAATTATGCTATTTCGCTTTTTGAGTGGTAGTCACCGAATAGTTACACGTGCCTTTGTTGTTAAATGCTGGATTCTGACAACATTATCGATTTGTTCTACAGGGAGTCGAGCCACAACTCGGAGACACTAGCGAGGAGCACCTCACCGTAGATAACGTTCCGATAAAAAGCAACTGCTTTGGCGAAATAATCACCGAGAAATGCGAGGGCAGAAATATATATTGGATGGAACCCGTACCACATGGCGACGCCGGTCAGTAGACTGTGTTGTTATATGATTAACTTGACGTTTTTCTAACACGCTTTTGGAAAAGCAATTTATTGAAAATTTGTTAAATTATTCTTGTGATTAACTTTTTCAAAATCTGAAGAACACAACTTAGGGCACCCGAACTAGTGTTTGCACTATGAACCTAAATTTTATGCATTTTGTCAATTTTTCAATTCAAAAAGGCTGCCATAGTTGGGTTTAATACTACAGGGAGATCGCACGAAAATAAGTTTTTGTTCTTTGTGTTTGTCTTTAGTCATTTATTTGATAGAATTGTTTTTAAAATGTCATGAACTTGTAGTGCTTTTAAAACACATTCCGATTGATTTTTTCACTCTAGAAATGATGAAGCGTGCCTTAGACTGTTACTACTATACCTATTGTGATTATACGTATATTGGTTTTGGATGGTGGTCTTACGGAGTGTCGGTTGGTCTATAGATGTTACTACGTATAATGCGGCATTACTTTATATCTTGAATGAAGTTCGTCTATGCCGATACGCGTTACTACAGAACATTCTAACTTGTGTCAGTTACTTGTTATAATACATATCCGGAAATTGTACTGCCGTTAAAATAAGTTTACACGTTTTCAACTAACCGCCAGTTTATTCTAACCGCGTTTGTTCCGATTCTTTTACATGTAAGATCAGGTAGATATTTACCGCTTCCAATGCACCGAGTCAAAACAAATTTGATGTGTTGTTTTTTTAAAAACTATACTTACATATTACGTATCTGCGTTGCTAATACAAATACAAACACACTTATAATTAATATCTTGTTGTATTTGTTTACGAGTGTGTGAGAGCATGGAGGTAATTTTACTTCCATGGTGTGAGTTGGTATGCTTTTGTTTGATTGACCCCTTCCTCGTCGCTGCTGATGGTGATTTGTGTCATGTTTTCTCGTACAGGCGACCGAATTATTAAATTTGAATATAGACGTGCCATTGAAAACGAATTTTGTCCATGTCATTTATATAGAGCTAGACAGAATTATTCATTGTATATATATTAGGTGCCCCATCATGAATTTCAAGGTGTTCCGGCAAGCACTCCACAAAGAAGGAATAACGTCTGAATGGAACACCCGACTGAGGTACCCTGAGTGAGTGTGCCACAGACTTACCGGTGGATGGGCGTTTGGGCATTATCATTGGCCGAAAATCATTCACTAACGAATGTGACAACGTGCTAACTATGATTACACCGGGACATGGAATTCGCTTTCACTGTCTGTATCATTATAAGAACTTGCACTTAATTTTGTACATGAAAACGTCAGTAAAGACCATAACGACATTTTCTGTTTGGGATAGCTTGAATAGTTATATAGTGTGATTTGACCTGGCTACGTCTTTTCACAGCCAATAACACTATAACATATTTAAAATATTTTAGTCGCCTTCTGTGTTGGAAACTGGCCATGGGTTATGAATGTCTGAATTTCTGTGTATACAGCACTCGGAAGAGTTCCCAACCTGCGTCACGCCCATATCAAACCCCATTCTCATAATTTAGACCTTGTGGTTACGGTAGTACGAATAAGTGTTAGGTGACCCCGGGGCATTGATCTTTGACCCAAAATATAACCAAGTCTTTCGGGCCACATGAATAACATTGTATGTGAAGTTTGAAAGTGTTATCTTTATTTATTTTTACTTAATATTTTACGAACACTTAGACACATAATGTTGTGATGTTGACGTTGGCCCTTTGTCCTTGCATCTCTAATTAGAACTTTGGGTCACATAGACGGAGAACTCTAGAGTAAAGTTTGAATTCGCAATACAATGTATAACCATTTTCTCCTTGGAGATAAATCGCGATCACGAAATGCAAAATTCACTTATTAACTATTAATTGTTTATTGATAGAAAGCATAATGTGTGACGTTTTATGAGTGAATACATGCTACATTTAGTCACGAACAGACCAACTTTGTTAAGCTTTGATTTTCATGATCATTCTCATCATATGATGGACAGGTATGATTTTCAATGGGGACAGAAAACCGAACGGTGAGCAATATATCGAAGCGCGTAATATTCCGAAATCGGGTGGAAAATAATAACAACGCATGTGACTCTGGATATCATTTTGCCAAGACCAGCAATCATTCACAGTAGGCATTGTGACACCAAAATTAAATCTCTCTTGTCCGTTGGCTCGAGGAAATACAAATACCACCGTGACCAAGAACTGGAGAAATTTCTGATGGGGCGGCTGGACTATAATAGCATTATAGAACAAAATATGGATATAAAACAAGGAAAGTCCCAGTTACAAAATCTACAATAAAGCCGAGGATGGTATCATGTCAACTGCGAAGACACCGTTTTTTCCCCCGATGGGTTCACCGTCAAGAGATAATCAGAGAAGTATACTCTAGTAGTTTTGATGTGAAAGGCTTTCAGAAGAGCAGCATTAATGACATATTCACTGTCGGAGATCTGTCATTTATTTTGAGGTGCTATTTCTCAACAACATAAACATCTCCTGGTGTTTACGTAGTGGAATACTCGAGCAATACACCAGCTTTGTCAGTACAGGTATTCCACACACAACCCAGTAAGAAATAGTTGATTTGACATCCAGTTATTATTATTTTCTCGTCCAATTTGAACCAATCAGTTCACCAATCAGTGCCTAGAATACTAAAACGGTCATCAAGTCAGTAGTATCTCATTTTAAGGCATTGACCTTCTTTTTATTACGAGTATGTATTTATAAGTAGTACAAGTATAACGAGATAATTTTTTTTTTAAATAAAATTAACTATACTATGTAGTTTGAATTTTCGTGGGCCCTGATAAGGCTGCGCAGTCACGCGAACTTTATGACCTGGCTCGTGATTAGTCAGACCAGTATATTAAAAACAGACATGACAATCACAGTCAGCTGGCGCACATGTGATAATAAAATAAATACGATATTTACTATATGGGGGCCGCCATCTTGAATGATGCATAAAACTAAATAAGAGACAACGTGTTAGCGCGAAATTATCCCGACGGGGTGATTTCGCAGTTACAGGGGATTTCGCGCTAACACCTCCATTTCGCGATTTTTTTTATTTTATTAAACTACAAAAACAAATTAATCGCCCCGACTGCGCCAGTCTAATGACAATCATCACGTTCATCGACTGCAATATGGTCGGCGGAGGGTGCTTGCAAGACTGAAGCACTCACAAATCCGACTGCTTGGTTTACTGGTATAATATTGAATACAACATCGTGAAATAGAAGCATAGTATCCATTGAAAACGGTGTGTTTCCCAAATAGCGAGAATTACATTTGTGATACGGATTCGAGCATAGACGACTTTCCCGAAAGTAGCGAGGCTGGGCTGCAAAAATACTCCTGCTCTGTCATGGCTCTGTCAGTTTGCTGATAGTTGATGGAAAAGAATTTTATTTTTGTGACGTCATTTGGTACACCCAGAAGTACAATATCACGCGTGCAAGTTTACGTTACACCCCAAAACGGCATGCGTATCGTCGACTTCCGCGAAAGTCGTCTATTCTTCTTATCCTGACACCAGAGGGCGCACTTACCACAAGCGTGTGAGCGTCACACTGCGTCACATAGGCGCGCGTCATCGCTTGTCAATCGACTGTTCGTCGTTGTGTGTATGTGCGTGTATTTATAACTGGTGCGTCGCAGAATCAAAAACAACATGTCTGCGTAGGTTTCGTCATGAAAGTCAAATACAGCCTGGACATCTTCAAGAAATGGGAATCAGTACCCGACAAGATAAACCAGTGACTAAGAACTGGTATTCATGTTACGAGGAAGCCAGACGACACCAACTTACCTGCCATGAAGCGGCGCGACGCCTCCGGGAAACTATTCTTAATCAAACACACACTGACATTTCGGAGTCTCAGAAACGTGAGAAAAAGGAGCGTATGTCGGGGAAGTTCACCGTCGGTGGTCACCGTACACAGCCAGTATTAAATCACCAAACTTACAACGCATTTCCTCTGCGCTATTCGAATCATATGACTGGATTTAGAAATTGTAGAAAAAACTTACAGTTGACGTTAATTGAGAAGTCGGGCAGCGAAGACCAAAAACGAAAATCGGATCTAGAAGAAACGATCAAACGGCGTGTCGACGAAATGCTAACTGAAGACGAAGCAAACGAGCATTACGAGGGCGACCGAAGCAAAGCGAACAAGATCACCTTTATCATGCCGCAGGTGCCACTCATGTCGCCTTGGTTTGTCGCTAACAGAAGCGCCACTATGACAGAAGAAAGATTACACCGCTTTAAACTTCTCGTCCACGTCTATCCAACAACTAGGGCTACACAGGCACGAAAGACATCCCGGCCGTACTACTCAGTACGAACCAAGACGACTACAACGTATCTCCCAAGTCGAGTGTCCAGTATCAGTTCCAGTAGTAGAACTACAGACAATGGGATGCCGGACGCTGTACTGCCAAATGTAGACTGAACTACTAGTACATAGTCTTTTTTCAATCGTTCATTTTTAGTTTAGATTTTCAGATTATGAGGTGTGTTTTATTTTGATCAAGATAAATCAATAGTTTGGAATACGTAGTCGTTTTATTTGTTAATATTGCGTAGATAATACGCATATTATATTTTCACCACATCTGTGTCTTCTGCACTTTCGTGTAATTTCGCTTTCACCATCATGATTTCTCGAGCCAGACCGACCGGACACATATGGGTTTTAAAGGGCGGCGGTCGTCGCGCTACGCATGCGCGAGATATGGAACTCATAAACCAAAATTGCGACTTTGACTGTTGCGCAGATCAACGACTTATAAACTTATCAATTACATATTTATCAATACAAATGCCGCACATGCGCGGCGCGACGACCACTACCCTTTAAGAATTATGAAAGATCTAAGTTTCGAAAAAAATACTCCTTTAGTTTGCAAGTTATATGCCATCGAAACTATGGGTCTGTTTTTTGTTAGCCTTCTTGTGTGCATCGATGCGTATACATTCCATACTTATAACACTGACAACAACTGTTATGCAACGTGACTTTTATTTGTTCCACTACGAATACATGTACACGTGGTCACACTGACACCATAAAAACTCGCGATATTGTGGTGTGTAATGGCTGAGTTACGAGTATATTTTATTTGGTAGTTATACATACAAGACAGGTTATATTTATTAGCAGCCGTCTATGTCGGCGACCAATATCTCCAATCTGGTACACATTTCGTTGTGGAAGTTTGCTGGCACGATCTGTACAGCATTCGCATCGAACGGCTCGGTTAGCGTATTTACCGCGAGATTCTGACCGTCTGAATTACCCGTAAAGATCTGAAAGTTTAAAAAGAACGAAAAGTAAGCATTTGTATAGTGAGTGAGATAATTCTAATAATATAAACTTAATTAACTAATTAACGTATATCTCAATTTCACCCTTATTCACTCTGTTTTTAAATTTTGTTTATCCATATTATAGTCTGTATACAAAATCACTGTCCTTCTTGATAGAGAGACCGTGTTTGTGTGGGTACACTTTGTGTGCATAGTAACATTCAATATTTGACAAACAAATTCATGGCTGCTCACTACAGTTTCACGTAAGTATTTAGAATCTTTTTATATTTTGCGAATAGATTGCTTATTGCTATACAAAGTCATATATGGAATAATAAGATACGTAAATTATTTTTTGAGATAAACGTTATATCCCTGTCTGTGGATTACGGAGTTGATAGATTAATAGAAAGTGAAACACAACCCGTTCAATTGCGATTTTTTTTAAATTGGAAGCAATGAAATGTGTCTGGAACAACATCTTGAAAAAAAAGGAGATATGACAGTTTCAGTAGTTTTGCCTATGCTAACACATGGGCGATAGAACGTGTTCTCACGCGAAAACTTTATTTTTGCCACCAAAGCTAATTTTCTCTTCGAATACTCCGCAAAACGACGTAACGTGTCGTAGAGGGGCCATTGTTTTGACGATGAAAAACTCCTGCGCGTCCACTTCGAACCAATCCATCGAAAACCGTGCAACGATATCAACTTCCCCCTTAGTAAAACTAGCGATGGTGATAGAGTACCTCAGCGTCGTATATAGCTACGCGACGACTACCGACAACGAATTTTAGAATACTTGGATTTGCATATAATCCCGGTGACCGGGGCATACATTGATTTCACCGACAATGACTGAATCAAGTGGGTTTGTTACAAAATAATTTAAGTGTACCATTTTGTACAATAACACGGAGAAGAAGACATTTAAGCGAAACACGACGATTTCGAATTTGGTTCACGCGGTAACATATTGAAATAGATTAACGCTACGCACGATGACTGACGATTTATCGGCTGCGACTCGCAAACTTATACCCTGCATACTCCATCCTATTAACGTTGCTGTTACGGCTTAAATATAATTATAAAATACGAACTGTCTGTATCCTGTGTCATTACATTAAAAGTACGTTTTGGTTAGTCTTACCCGTATCGCTCCATTCTCCGTGTAATCAACCCATGGCGAACCAATTCCTTCGACTCTGTATCGTAAAGTGAATGTGTGCACCCAGTGTTCTGCATCACCCTGCGCCTGTGTAATTATACCTGTGACAGGCCGAATTTTCACCGAATAGTCAGTGTTGTAACCGAACTGGACGACTAAAAATTGTTCGCCCTCAGCTGTAGGATCTGCGCACCAGGCGCTTCGTCCCGTTTCGTGCACCTCATTCAAGCGACATCTATTGAGAAAGTAAATTAATATAAACAGGTACAATGAAATGCCCAATAATACGCAATGAATAATAATAGTTGTCTCGATAATTGTTCTATTTTAACAGATGTAAGTTGACAAACCTTGACGACTGGGCTTCAGGCAGACAAGAAGATGCATATATTTGCCAATCGTAAATTGTCTGTTTTTCTAGTCCCGCTGAACACTGTTGGTAGCCTGAATAAATAAGCAACACTTAAATTAGCCTTGGCTTTGCCTCTATGTCACGAATGGTGTCATATAGAAAAAAAAAACGACGAATGATTACCTAATTCCCAAAGTTCTAAACCAATCACGATAGTTTCAAGTTGAAATGTACTCACTTGTGTCATCTGAGTGCACGATCACTGGATCTGAAAATAATTGCAGTACTTTCTCGTTAGCATTGGTGTTTCACTATAACAGTGAAGTTGACATTACCGGTAGTTGAACTAATACGGGTTACTTTTGAACATATTCAAAATATTTTTGTTATTGCGTGTTGAATTACTTGTACGTTTATTCAGATAGACACGCTCAAAAATATTCAAATTTATCCTTGCTGACCTTAAGTATTCAAATTGATTCCCTATAGACCATTTTCCGTACACTGCGAGAATCACGCGTTATGCGTGAAATCGAACGTAAAAACAGGACAAACAAAGGTCATAGCGTCGTAGTCGCGTCAAACCTCGCGTGGGATTCGACAAACGCGAAAGTATTTCGGGGAAATTTCCATGCTTAATAATGTGCTGTCCACATTTGATGATAGGCAATTTCGATTAAGTGAGGGTATTCGCAAGCAATATTCCTCTGTCGAAGATCGGCCGGTCAATGTAAGCTGCGAAATAAAGAAATTCTAGTTCAAAATCAAATCGTTCGATTTTTGCGGCAGACGTTCGACGCGCGTCTTTCATGCATCTCGCGAGATCTCGCAATTGTTCGGAAAATCACCTATTGATTGACATTATTTGTTGTTCTTTCTACATATACTAATTTCTCATGTGCATGGCACCCGCATTCTATTTTTTTGGGTAGTGATTACTTCACCCATGCTTCACCGAAATTTGGTGAAACGATTAAGTATTTCCCAATACGCGTAACATCTACCCAGTGACGTATTTAGTGGTAATCTTACCCGTCTCGTCTTGCTTAACTGCAATAAAGAAAACAACATCCGAATCGTTAAGGCATTCAACTCAACAAACAGTTTACTGCAATACAGACATGCATATATTCCCCATAGTGACGCAGTGGCATTGAAGGTGAAGGGGGCATCGCAAGTACCTAGATCATAAGTCATACTTTGAAACTTTTCGGAAACATTCAGCGATAACATTCGCATAAAAGAGTAGATGGTTATCCTAGTACTTTAGTACCTTGAGTGCCAACACAGGGATCATAGAGGGACGGGTTATACTAACATTAGCAACAAGCTACTAAAGTAAATTACGTCAGTGTACCACACTAGTACTTACCTACTTCCGTCAGAAGAGCCAGCCTCATGGAGGTGTAGTCACCCGTATGTGACATCGGAGTGATTGTCACCGTGTCTGTCTCGATCGCTTGGGGAAATATTACACGCTCTATTGTGTCTTGGTCGCTCGAGCCGTCGAACACCTGAAACGACAATGTAATCGACCTTTATAGCATCCAGCAATCTGTTAAAATTCTTGGGCAGGGAATAGTTTTTTAAATAGTTGTTTAGGATAAGACAGATATCATACCATTAACATTTAAAATGGAATCCAGGAGAGGGGAATTTGACGGAAGAACAAGTGGGAGGTCCGAACGTGAAGCTAGGCGGTTTGGTGCCGGTTCGAGTCACACACATGTTTCTTTATTTACCATGCCGTCCGTGTATTCGGTGTTATTTACATACTTATCCAGGATAGAGACAAAATCGAGGCATCTCTAAAAAGAGGAAACTTTCAAAATACTAGACTAGAAGGAGCATTTGGGGAGAGTAGTCACATGGTTTGGAAGGCGAGTATGAGCAGCAATTACATTTCTCATCTTGACAACCCCAAAAAAACATTGTTGTTGATGTTTGTGCGATTACTACATGTTGTACGTTCGGCATTTCCATCGCCGTTGCCTAGATATTGGCGCTCATATAAGGGTTTTGTCAGAGGTGGCATTCGTACTTCTAACACGTAAAGCATCTTGTGTTAGGCACTCACGACGTCACATGATCACTTGACCGCCTAATAATTGTTTCGATAACCGCAGTCCTAGTTTTCGAACATTATTTTCTAAACGTCTCAGAGTTATGTTAATACATGTCATTTCACGTCGTTTATAAACTGAATAACAGCAGTGATCTTTACCTGTGTATTACCGTCCTTGTCACTTATATTCACCACGGTGTCATCGGACGTGTTATAACTAACCGTGAACGACGTTACCCATTCCGAGGCATCGTGTCTCCCTTGAATATCTACACCGATAATTAGCATAGGATTGACCTGAAAAGACCGGACAACAAAAACAACAGCATATAAGTTCCCCACCCCGGGTAGTAACTTGCTTGTCGTTGATGTGTGATAGTATAATCAGTATTGCTATAGTAACCTTAGTTGACTATTGAAGCAAAAACAATCAAGTTAAATAAATCATAGGCAATGGAAATCATTACTATAAATAAACAAATGTTATGAGTCAGTTGGGATGTTCCAGATATCAATTCTCTGAAAATAAATGTATTATACTTATACCGTGACGTACTATACTTCGTTACTATGATAAGTCATTAGAGGCAATGAATCTCGAGAGCCCAGTAACCAGATACTGCTTTTCTGGCTTCACATACTTTCTATTTTTTTAGTTTTAAAGTGGTTCCAAATCCAAACCCCTGTCAAATTTACAGGAATGCGTCGCTAATACCTCGATACTCCATACGCTTTTTAACAAAATGTTGCGACAAATTTCCCCTTCACTGACTAGATTACCGCGTTTTTGTATTTGTTTTATGTAGTGCGAGCCGTTTTCTACTGAAACTCTGATTCTTTGAAGCTTGTGAATGATGTCCATACCGACTTAGCAATTTGTTAGGATTGAAGAACGCCCTTTTTTTCAAGGATTATATATTCAGTTGTATGTGTTCGAGACCCAGTGACTCAAATCGTTCCCCTTTGGAGGTACACTGCTGTACCTACATATCCAATGGAACCATCCGTTCTAAATGTACACCATATGTTTTGGTGATTAGAGTGGCAACGATTTAAAAGTCACTTCAGATCAAATTTCTTACCAGATTCACAGTCAGGTAACAATCTCCGTCATTTGCAGCGAGTACAATCCAACCAGAATTGCTGTTAAGTTTAATAGCATTATGGTCTCCGAGAGGAACACAAGACGATTCAATTCCACTAACAACTTCATCGTCGTCGGGATCTACCGCTAAT